GCCTCTGTCCTAGTCTGGGCTCTCAAAGCCTGTTCCTTTACTATTCTAACAGACTCTTAATAGGCCTACCTGCTTCTAGTTACTCTCTGCTCCAAATAAAGCCCACTGCCCACTTATCTCCCTGAAGTGGAGATTTTCAAATAGTTTCTCCTTGAGTTGTAGCTTCCTGAGAGGTCCCTCACGGGAAGAGAGGAAGACACGGGTGAGGCTTAACAAGACTTAGATCTTATTGTGCTATGTTATGTCCCGTGATCCTACTAAATATTTAAAATAAATAAAAATAAAGGGTCCAGTCGCTAAAATGAAGTTTGAAAAATCACTGGTCTTACTTCAATCCTCACTGTTGCTCCCTCGAAGGAGAAAGCCAAGATCAGTGAGTCCCCATGGGCGGTACAGCAACATCTATCTCCACGCCATTCCCAGCCCTCCCTCCAGAGACCTGCCTCAGCCCCCTTGCCCAGCCGGCTTCCACACTGCCCTCTGCCCTCACCCTGCCAGGGTGCTGTTTCCTGAAACGCCCTGCCCTTCTCCTTCTCACGACCCTTCAGTCTGTACGCCCCTCCTCTTCCCACTCCTCCCTTCAGCAGACTCACCGGCCTGGAGAAGCCCAGATACAGCCAGGCTCAGCAAGTGCTCCATAAATGCTAATGGCCCCACAGGCCCATGCATAATACCTCAGGATGCCCACACAAGAAAGAACCACTTTTCACTTCTCTCCTCAGTGGTGAAAAGTATGCTCCTGCAGAGAGAAGCTAAACTAACGTTACTGACCAAAACTCGTCACAGATGATTTTACTGAAGAACGACTGCTACACGGAAGAAACCATTGAAGACATTTTCTAGAATTACATCTAATGAGATGAAAATGCACTGGGTACTACAGGAGGATACTTACTGTCATTTTTCATTACCGTATTTATTTACTGTCTGAGGATTTGATGTGAACGTGAATACTTAAGAATTTAACCAAGTTTTTTTTTAAAAAACAGACATTTATGAAATCAGTAGTCTAGAACTCTCTAGGTAAAGGATAGTTGAGCACTAAGGGTCTAATTCTCGAAGCAATATTTTTACTTAACTAAAAAACAACCGAGTGGATTTATAGTACCCCTGTCTCTAATTACCATTTTTCCCTTCAAAAGTCTACTACAAAATTGCATTAAAGTTAAAATACCAAAGATTCTTAGTTTAAGGGACCTTAGGAGTCCTCTGGCAAACTCCTTAGTTTAACACCTGCCTATGACACCCAACTATTCCATTCTCCTGAACAAGCACTCTCACCTCTCAGCTTTGAGATGCACGATGTAACAAGTGCCATATGGGGAACCAGGAGAAACGGGCTCTAGTCTAGCTCTACCATTAAATGAGGGACCTGGCTCTGGTAGTTCGCTTAGTCTTTCGGGGGCCGAGCCCTCTCATCTGCTAAATGAGGTAACTTGACTAGATTTTGCTGAATATTCCTTTTAGGCCCAATATGCCAAGATCCTATGAATTATGTTTCTAAAACTATCTTCTGCAAAAGTTTACAAAATAAAGCAGAATGAAGCGAAATCATTTTTATTTTATTTTTTAAGGTAATCTTTACAAAGTAGCGTTTAAAAATACATCATCTCACAACTCAAACAACGGTCAGTTTGTGTTGCCCTGACGCTGGCCAACAAACAGTTATTGCGCGTCTGCCGCAGGCCAGGCCTCCTCTTTCCTGGGAAAAAACACTTAGCGCTTCTTCCACGTGAACTTTCTGCGGGCGCCTTCTTGGCCTGGCTTCTTCCGTTCTCTGACACGTGGATCAGTAGTGAGCAGCCCAGCTGTGGCATAAAAAAAGAGAAACATTTATGAACCGTGGAAAATGCCTGTTGCCTAGCAGGGAAGTAGGTGAACTGCATGAGATTATAGGCACTGTTGTCAGAGAAAAAAACTCAAGGAAAACACCCAGCCTACAGCAAGCATTGACCAGCCTGGTACAAAACGCCTGACAGCAGTTTACTTTCACTCTTATCAGGATACTCTTCCAATGGCTGAGATGAACGACGGCTACATTATTGTCTGCTTTCCTTCTCTTACGAAAACTATGACTCCTTTTTGGTGTTTAAATTTGGTCAGCTGAAGGTCAAGCTGCTCTTGTGTGGGCAGTCACCGTTTATTGCAGTGGAACTTGTCCTGCATGCTGATTATTATAGATACAAAAATTTTAATGGCGACAAGCAGTAGAAAAGAAAAACTTAACACTGTCAGGATTCGGTATTTGCTAATTTGCCTACTCACTAAAATTTATTTGTAACCCCAAAATACTCCTCGTGGCACTTTGTGGTGATTCACAGATGCGCACAGAATGGTGAAAACTGCGAGGCAGCCAATGAGCAGGTTTCCAGCTGAGGGCGAATAAGGCAACGCTCCACCTTCTTGTTTCAGCTTCCCTACGGTAAACAAGTATCCTCTTCGTGGCCATTCTAGGCCATGTTTTTGTGCGTTTTTGTGGTTTTTACTGGCCATGTCACTGTCTAACATGGCCCCCAAGCACAGTGCTGAAGTGCTGTCTAGGGTTCCTGAGGGCACGAAGGTTGTGATGTGCCTAACGGAGAAAATACCTGTGTCAGATAAGCTTTGTTCAGGCGTGAGTTACAGTGCTGTCCGCTGTGAGATCTCCGTTACTGAGTTAATGGTATATACTAAATAAGGTGTCTTTACACAGAAACATACATGGAACAAGGTTATGCACTGACTGGTTGACAAAAATGTTGTGACTGGAGGCTTGCAAGAACCTGTGTTTCTCCTAGCAACAATGATTCAGTATGTACTAACTCAGTGTTCATGGTGACTTTATAGAACATAACTACCATGAATAACAAGAATTGACTGTATATAGATATCATATGTTAAACGTATAGACAAATTTACACATTCATAAAATATGATTTGTCAAACATTTGAGAAAAGAAACTTTTAATTTGCATGATAATAAAATTCTTTGGCATTTTGTTTCAGAATCTAAGAAATAATTTTTTGAATTGTGTTTTTAGCACAAGTAGTTTATTCTAGAAGAATAAATTCAGTTTAAACCGGAAGCTTCCAATCTCCTAATCATCAGGAACAATTATGATTTTTAGGTAATTAACAAGTTATTCTTAGCAGATGACCCAAACAGAAGAGTCCCAGTGTATTAGTAAAGACCACAGATTTCAATGACTATCCGTGATCAGAAAACTCTTAAATTGCTTTTATAAATATATAAATAAACCATAGCTTTTCATTATCTTTTTTACTCTTCTAACATAGTATTTAATTTCATTTTATGCAAGGCTTAGGTATTTAACTATGGATCTACTGATGGGCATGTAGCAAATGAAAACTTCAAACGTGGACATACCCGTGAGCTTACTGAGCTACTTGTAGAGTTCAGAACAAAGCAACAATATTTTGGATAAAATGCAGACAAGACCTGTCTAAATTCTGGTTTAATTATAAATAATAATGCTTTATTACTTTCAGTAGCTCAAACTAGCAAATTGTTAAGGTCCTATCAATTTATTTTAATGACTAGATATGAATCATACATAATGGTGAATTGTTTATATATGCAAATGGATTTTAAGAGGCTTAAAAAATTAACTAGGTTAAAGAATAGGCAGCGCTTATTTCTACCACAGTATTGGATTCCCTGAGGTGAGTGCCGGGAGGGACTGCAGCGATCACCTGTTCCATCCCTCCTATTTGCCCAGAGAGGACACACAGACCCAGAGGCGCTAAGTGACTCATCAGGCTCACAGAGCTGGTCAGCAGCACACCCAGCTCTTGCTCCCCTCATGCAGAGTGCAAAGATGACCTTCCACTAGAATCCCCTGATTTATTATAAAGTTTAGAGCAGCACCCTAATGAAAGAATAGATCGTATATTCTTTGTCACACTGTGCAGGGAGTCTTGTGTTCATAATCAGGTGACAGGGTCACACAGAATGGAGTAAAAAAATAAAATCTGAACTAACATCACAGTGAAAAATGAAAATTTCCAACAATTGTGGAAATAAATACCTTAATAGCTTTATCAACAAATCAAATAATTATTAAAAATTGTCTATGACAAAATAAAAACAACCTATTGATCTGTTAAACACAGTAGAGCCGAGTGTTTGCCACACCATCTGTTGGCGAGTCGATTCCGACTCACAGCCCTACAGGACACAGCAGAACTGCCCACAGTCTCCAAGGAACGGCTGGTTGATTCAAACTGCCAGCCTTCTGGTTAGCAGCCAAACTCTTAACCACTGCGCCACAGGGCTCCTTGCTAAACTGGATGAAAGCTTATACCTTAAGACTAAAATAAACTCTCCCAGCCCTCCGGACTGAACATTTCAGCAGGGCTAAAATAATCATTGCTGGGAGTGCCTGTTCCGCCCCCTTTTCTTTTTCTAATTCAAGTTCACTCCCTGGAAAACAAAACTGAAAAGTATTACCACAGTTCCAGAGCATGCAAAGGGGAGCCAGAGAACGGAAATATTAAATACTTAACTAAATAGTTTCTCACTAATTTCAGGTACTTCATACAAGAATAAGAAGCCCTGGTGGCGCAATGATTAAGTGCTCGGCTGCCCACCGAAAGGTGGGAGGTTCGAACCCACCAGTGGCTCTGCAGAAGAAAAGACCTGGCAATCTGCTCCTGTAAAGATTACAGCCTAGGAAAGCCTATGGGGCCCTTCTATTTCGCCCTATAGGGTTGCTATGCGTCGGAATCGACCGGATGGTACACAACGACAGTACAAGAATCAGACACACTGGTAGATAATATCAGGACACTCCTGCCTTTCCAATTCAGACCCTTACCTTGTCTCATCCATTCGACCTCGTCCTCCGTGACAAAACTGCATAAGGCCTTTGCAGTCGCCAAGCGTATGGCTCCAGCCTGAGCTGATCTCCCGCCCCCCGAGACCGTGCAGTTCATGTCATGTTTTCCAAGCCGGTCCAGGAAGTGAAAGGGGAACATCAACTGTTCTCTAAGACACATCACAAGTCAACACAGTCAGGTTTACTATAAAGACACATGACTTTGTAAGCTGTTGCCACTCTGAATATTTATTAAAACCATATTATGCATGTCAGTGTTACACCTTTCATACTCTCTGATCAGTCCATTAAACCACGATATGGGAACACTGCTATTACTGACGTTCAGAACGCTTCACTGGGAATCCTAAGGTTTGTTCCTTTTACCTGCGTACAGCAAGCAGTACACTTGATCCTACTGTTTGCTGATTCCCTTTATCTCATGAGAACACTGCAAGGCTTAAAATAACCTCATAAAGAAGTCTTAAATTTGGAGGACTCCATTAATAAACTGAATCTAACCTCTCTGGATTCAATGACAGATATAATATTAATACGTGTTCCCAAGCAATTATCAAATGTCAGTCGGATTCACTAAATAAAGTCTACAATGATGTATCTGCATAATGTATGGTGCTCATCTTGATATAGTGTTTAAAGTTACTAAAACTACATTCAACTCCCCCACTCTCGTTGAAACACATGTTCCTATTATAAATCTCTAAATTGCAGGGTCTTGCTACCTCCCTGGTACCAAACGGCATACTGCACAGCCCAAGTCAGACTTGCTTCACTCAGTGGTCAGTGAGTAGCCATGTGGTTCTGGGCAGGCATCAGAGAGGCAGAAAATGGAACACAGATGAAACATGGCCCTGGACCTTCTTTA